TGGTCAGATTTTCAGCTTTCCAACGTTCCTTGAACTAATCACACGTGACATATACTTACATCTGAAAAATTAACCAAACTTGTGCTTGAAAGTGTGACGTTATATTAAATTGACTTTATTCTACGTGTGTCATGTAAAAAATTCCAAAAATAGTTTAGCTCTCACCAGACTGTGTAAAAAAAGTTCTGAGCTCCATAAATGTGAAGCAGTTTGTGATGCAGAGTTTTCTGCAGACGATACAGGAAAATAAAAATACAAGCAGTTAAACATCTACAGTATGTGGAGCCTCCGTGTTTACAGTGTTGGCAACATCTGTGGATTTTACATTTTTGTAAAACAAACAATGATTTTTTCTTCTTTTCTTATGATTTGTGTTTCTCTAACCGCGTCATGCTGCACAGAAGACATTTCTAAGGAAAAAAAACGAGACGGGAGTGACAAATAAACAGCCTGGAGTTCAGAGGGTTAATGAGAAGTCAGATAAACTACATGTTTTTATTGCTGACCCTCCACTTGAACTGGATGACATCACTTGAGGCTGCGTTTCATCATTTCTGCTTCGCGGCTGTGATGTCAGGCGACATCGTGAGGCCTGTTCAGGGCCTCGGCGTAAATCACAAACTGCTCTCTGGAGCTTTTGAACTTTTACACTCCGCACAGCTGGACAGGCTTTTACAGACCAGAAAACCTGTTTTCTAGGTCTGTGAGCAGCCACAGTTGGTTTTGGTTCTTTCATATCAGGAGCTAATTTAGAGGAGAAACGGGATGTAGTCGTCTTCACTTCCCTCAAGGGCAGAAAACCAGAAGTTGTTGGACCCACTAGAAAGACGTGAAGCTTCTTCAAGGTTTCGGGTTGAGTTTCTGTTATCTTCATGTTTAGTCTTGCTGTTGATATCGAACAGGAACGCCGTCTGAACGCAGCAAGTCGTGGGATTTTGAGTGGGTTCTGTTTGACCGTGAAGCAGGAGGGTCTGGACGTGTTCTGCCGGTAAAGTTCAAGCAGCAAACGCGCTACTTTTATGCATCAATTTGTGCATTTTTCTGCATAAATGTTTTTATTTATGGGTCATTCCTTCTCAAATCATCACATTTTCTGAACAAGTTTTGCTCTTTCATCTCTGAAAATTTTATAGCATCAAATATGGACATTTATGAAGAGATTTGTGAAGTTTTAGATTTTTTAAAGTTAAGTAACACCACAGCTGTAGTGATATTTTCTGAACCACGTGTCACGATATCACAAAACTAAACACAGACAACACCTTTAATTTGAAATACTTGGTCACAAACATGAAAAGAAAGTTATTTTTAGTAAACGTTCACAACCGACTGAGCAGGTTCGACAAGTCGCACCACAAAAACAAAAACACAGGTCGATATAAAAACCTGCTGAATGTAGGTCGACTGCATCTTGGAAAGTATTTGATATGTTAATGTAATATTTCACAGACACAATTTTAAATATCTAAAGAAAGCAGATCAGAGATGGAGGAGGAGCTGATGATCTGAGATGAAATGACCCTCATACAAACTAAATAATTTAAAATATAATGGATGTAATTACACAAACTGTTCAGTGGGCTCATGATTTAGCCCATCCCTGTTATTGCTGCGTCTATTACTAAAGTTTTAACAGTTCGTTGCTCTTCTGCTTCCTCCGTGTCTTCACTCTACACACTACATCTACGACCGTTAAGAGAGACTTCACGCCACTTTTAAAAGGGAAACTTTGAACTCGGCAGCTGGTTCCCTGCTTTGTGATTATAGAGGAACTAAATGTGGTTCATATTCTGCTGCAGCTTTTTAAAAAGGTCGCATGTAGAAGCTGTGCGACGCGGAGTCTCATTAAACTGGAGTCTTCTTTGTTGTAATCTCATCAAAAACAACAATGTGGGTCTTCATGTTGTCGTGATCCAACACCACATTAAAACCGTCCAAACGATGGTGAAAACAGACAACAGAACGCTCATTCCACGTTTATTAGCGGGGGGACAGTTAGCCTGAAGAAAACCTGTGTACATCCAGTAAATTCCTGCCCTTCTGTCTGCCCAGTGGTTGTATCAGTGACCAGTGGGTTGTTGATGAAACTCTCCATTGTTCTGATGTTAATAGCACACCCGGTTTCTGGGAAAGCGTGTCTGGGCCAGGGGTCGCTAATGCGGCGACAAACAGGCCTTTTGAGGCCGATCTTACAGGTCAGCGGTCACGTATGAAGCTCCAGCGCCGCGCCGCCTCTCGGACCGACGGGTGAGCCGTTTCTGAACCGGTAATAACGCGAACCAGTGGACTCTGTCTCACCCCACGGTCCCGTCTGCTGCCCCCCACCCCCCAATGCTCAGATTAACACCAGAGAGGAGTCACAAGACAGGCGAGGGAAGAAAATCAAAGAGGAGCAGCGATCTGAGGCCGAGGGATGCTCTGAAATAACTGCCGTGTCCTGACTCACGGAGGCTGCAATTAAAGAGGATTCCTCAGTCACACATTCACTCCTCATCCACAGATCTCTATGGGAGGCGTCAATAAACCCGTCTTCCAACACCAGAACCGCAGCAGCCTCAGACAAGAAGCTTCTCAAGACACGTTATTCTTAAACACAGCTTATTTAACTGGGTGTTTACGGGGTTAAAGCTCCCCGACGACCGCAGGATTTACACATTCTCACAGTTGAAGAAGCTCATTTCTAAGAAAGCCTGGATTCCCTGTAATCTGCCGACATCACCAGAGCTGCAGCAATGAATCAATTAACTGTCAACTGTTTTCATAATGGATTAATCAGTTTGAGGCCTGAAGTGTTAATTTGGTGATTGTAGTTTTTTAAAATGTGAATATTTTCTTGTTTCTTTCCTCCTCTGGCTCTGTAAACTGAACATCGTTGGGTTGCGGATAAAAACACTGACGACTTTACAGATCAAACAGCCGATCGATTCATCCGGAAAATAAATAATCATGAGTAATTGACCATCACGTGCACTCGCTGAGGAGTTTATTAGGGGTCAGACGTCTGACCTCTGACCCGTCTGAACCCGTAACTATCGTCATTCATGACACAGCCTCTGACTGTCTGTCTGCACATCTGCATGCACATCTGTCTGCTGTTAGAATATCCCAAACAACTGCCAATATTTGACATTCCTACTAGTATACACCACCGCTGGACGATGCTTTTGCACTTTCACGAGCAGAATCCAGTGCTCGGTCTTAATTATTACAAGTATATTCAAATATATTTAACTTTTTTTATTACTCCAGCACATTTTTTTGCTCGTACGTCATCTATGAGGCTAAATTATGTCTGCACCCTCCTCAGTTAAAAGATGAAAGAAGGCCTTTCATTTGGTTAGACACAACATCATTTTTCTTCTCCATATGAAACACAGATATGCCTGGAATGTGCAAAAGTTTTCAACCTGAGCAGAAATCATGCCGAAACACATCTGACCCAGAAAAGCCTGGAGTTTAAAAATAAATTAAAATGATGAGAGAAGGTCCCAACTGCACGTTTAAGGAGGTTACTGCTCTGAAGTACAGAGAAAACTCAATCCTGCATCGTGTATGTGTGTGTGTTGACTCAGCGGGACAGTATTTAATGAGAAAAGCTGATCTACAGGAGAATAAATATTTGAAAGCAGCACAGAATGCCTGAGTCATTCTGCCATTATAGGCTGTTGTAAATTGAATTTGGTGTTTCCCTGCACCCATCCTAAAACATTTCAAACAGTAAAGGAAGAAATCAGAGCATTAAAATGGACCAGAACTGATGTTAAAAGTTCCCTTGCTTAATTTATTATTTCCAAATAGAGCTATTCAAGTATTCTAGTGAAACTCCTGCATTTTTTCTTACTAAATATGGCATATATCTATATCTATATCTATGTATATATAGTTAAAGCCCAAAAAATCTTCATATTTTACACTAAGGGATGATTGAGCAGAAATGGTTGTAAGAGTTTGATATAGATATAAAATGTGGGAGTCGTTTTAATTAGACTGAACCTACATCATAATCAATTAAAGTGCAGCTACTGATGGAGGTTTGCGGCTAACGATGCTAGCTAAGCTAACCAGCCCAGTTTAACATCAGCGGTTAGCTTACAAACTATTTCCCGATTAACTTCAACAGCTTCACCCCTAAACCCTTCCTCCACACTCGGAGAGAATAATAACAATTTAAAAAACAAAAAACAAACAAAAACCCACCGGAGAACCGCTGACCTGGAGCCTCTCCTACACCGGAGAACCGCTGACCCGGAGCCCCCCTCGCTAGCTGCGGTCTCCTCCCCGGGCTAGCCTTCGCTCGGCTCGGCCAGCTAGCTCCCAGCCCTCCGCTCCCCTCCGCTCCAGCTGGCGGCTAAACGGACTAACGCCGCCCCGTTTCTTTGCCTCTGACCTCACACGGAGAAAGCAGCCGGTTTGTGTTAACTGTCACCGGGCCGTACAGCTCCGGGGAAGCTACAGCCGCGCCGCTAGCTGCCACCGAGCTGGGTCAACCCGGAGCCGGGACTTCCTGACGGGGCTTCCGCATAGCAGAGCCTTATCGGCGGCGTCCATCAGCTGGAGGAGCCGCTCGCAGAACACTCGCGGACCGGAGGAGCTACACCCACCGCCAGGGTCTGTTAATTCAAAGCAGCCATGTGACACACCGTGACACCGCGGGCTGCTAACCTGGCCGCGGCTAACCAGTAACCAGACTAACTAACCCAGCAGCTGGAGGGACCCCCGCAGGTTGAAACACTCACCGTGTCCGTGGATCTCCTGCCTTTTGTTCCTCTTTGCTCTGAGCCGAGGTTCACTGTAATGGCAACTCCAGTGTTCCTGTGCAGGAATTAGACCCTCCCCCTGAGCAGGAATTACACCATCCCTCCAAACAAGTCCTCTCTGGTCTGGTACTGAGTAAACAGCAGCTCTCTGGATTCCTGCAGCATTCTTCACTGGATGACATCAGTCCTCTGCCTCTCCTTGTAAGGTCAGGCTGAGCGGAGGCCGGAGGGAGGCTCACAATAATGGGGCTGCAGGCTGATTAGATGCAGACTCCCAAACTGTTCAGGGGTTTTAAACGCAGCGAAGTATGTTCTCACAGGCCGGGAGCTGTGGAAAAAAAAAAAAAAAGTTTTATTTGCTTTCAGAGAAGTTATACGACTGGTTTGATGCCTTTTTGTTTCAACAAGCTCAGCTCAGGATAAGACGGCTGTCACTGGAAGGCCTTAGCGGTACTCTACAGAAAGGAGTCAGATATCACTGGGAGGTAGTGGAGCAG